GTTGGTCTTAAGGGATGATGTTTGGGTTTTTTACTGATTTTATAGTTTATATAAATTGTTTCACAAGGAAATGAAGAGACTAATAATATATTTTTCCTTTAAGGAAATAGTTGAATGTGAATGTTTTGTGCTTGCTCAATAAAATATTTGTTTTTTAATATTGGGTTTTTATGAGTGATATTTAAAGTTTATTGTGATTAGTGTTCAAATACATACTTGTGTCTACAAGATAATTCAAACTTTAAAATTAAGTGTTATAAAGATTACTGGTTAATGCATTTAAAAGAAAGTGAAGAAAAACTTATTCTTCAAGACTATTGTGATTAAACTAAACCCAACAGGTAAGTTTAAAGTTTAAACATTTGAAAAATTATATTAAGTAGGCTGTAATATTAATTGTCAAACACACAAACACAGTGCCGGATTTATATTTTTTATGAGTGTAGACCACTTTATTTTCACCGCCCCATGTACCTTTTTAAAATAATAATTTTCCATTTGTAATAAGGAAGGCACTAAAGTTAAATAAACAAATTAATTAGTCATTAAGAAAGAGCTTAAAAAAGAAAAAAGAATTGAAATTTTTACGGGACTTTTTAATAGCAAAATCATCTATAATGTCATAGTTTATAGTGTTCATTATCTCTGCTTCTATGAGAGAAGAACTAAAGAATTCATTTTTTCTTTGACAATGAAGACCTTTGATATTTTTTCACGCGTTTTAAACAGGAAAAACTCATTTCCCAAGAACTATTTGTTGCCGGAGTGGAAAGTGCAATGCAGGGAGCTATATCTAAGTTAGGGTAAACATTAGACAGAGATTGATTTTTTAGAAACGTTGAGATACAGTAGTGAGTTTGATCCAGGCTTTATTGCACACTCTGCAGTTGTACAGTCTGTTCGCTATACTTACGCGGGTTTCGGATTAACAAAATTATGCAAATTAGTCATTGACAACGAGTTCCAATAAGCCTCTTCCCAAGAAATTAGGTAAAATTGCCCTAATGGTCAGATTTAAATTAAAATAACATTAGGGTAGGTACTAAATTTGTTACAAATATTGCACTTGAATTGATTATTTGCAAGTGTTGTTTTATATTGCAAATTTAGTGGAAATTTTAAAAATGCCTAGACGTGTGTTAGATGTAGATCGTCTAATTTGTAGTGTACATAAGTATTTTACGGATGAAAAAGAAAATGGTGGTCCTTTAAAATCGGTAATATCTGAACAACAACGCGTATGCGATGCTCTAGGAATTAGTGAAACCAAACTAAGAGGAGTATTTCAAAATCACAATAGTGAACTGCCGAAAGAAGATCACCGCAAAACTCGCCCATCATGAAAACGAAAGATATTCCAGATCGAAAGAAATTTGAAATTCGTGATACCTTTTATCGAATGAGGGCCAACAAGGAACATGTGACCTTAAATACAATTCTCTCAGAATTAATAGATAGAAAATTTGACGACATTGGCAGAACAAGTCTACGGCAAGTGATACATAACTTGGGTTTCAAATTTCAAATGGAAGATAACAGAAAGGCCCTTTGTGAAAGTAGTTCTGTCGTGCACAAGAGAATTCACTTTCTAAGAAAATATTCTAAATTTAAAGAAGAAGGTGCGAATTTTATATATTCAGACGAAACATGGATATTTTCTAGGGGTGCCCAAGAGAAAATGGCAAGATAATAATGTTAAATCCATCAAACATACCGACATACCGATGGAGAAGGGAAGCGACACATAATTTTACATGCAGGAGGGAAATCAGGTTTTATAGAAGTTGCTGATTTAATATTTTCATCTAAATCAAAATCCAGTGACTATCACGATAATATGAACACAGAAATGTTTGTAAAAAGGTTGCATGAAAAACTTCTCCCAGGTTTAAGTGAGCCCAGCGTAATTATTTTGGACAATGCAATTAACCATTCTAAAGTATTAAACGAAAGTCCAACGAATTCTTGGACTGTTGATAAAATTAAAGAATGGTTGACAAAGGAACATATACCATTTCCTCAATATATATTAAAATCAGAATTATTACGCTTGGCAAATATACACGCAAAACCAAAAACCTTTGTTGTGGATCAGATTATTGAAAGTTACGGTCATCAAGTTTTACGTCTGACACCGCATCATTGCCAGTTTAATTCCATCGAATATATATGGGGTATAGCAAAACACTATTATGACAACCATATTGGGCCTAATGGTTATAGTGACGACGCAGTTCGGGAAACTTGGCAAAAAGCATTTTCAATTGCAGAAGTGTGGCGGAACTGTATATCCAAGTGCGAGAAACTAATAGAAGTTTGGTGGACTCGTGAAAATAAAATAAACGTCCAATCATAATAACAATTAATGGTGATGACAGTGATGATGATGATGACGATTATGATATTTTGGATGATAATAACTGATTTTCATTTTTGTTGGCAAGTTCAATTTTTTTATTTTTCATTTGAAATTCTCTACATGGAACAAATTTTTAAAGTGTTAGAAAATATTTTATTTGAGCTAAATAACCCTCTTATTATACATAGACTATATTTTCTGTGTGAAGTGTAATAAAAATTAATATTAGGTTTATAATAGCCACATTAGACTCCATTAATGATATATTATTAATTGACTTTCTCATTTAAAAAAGACGTTTTTTTTAAGGATTTTGTATGTGGTCGTAGCAAAAATAGTGTACACAACTCGTTGGAAAGTGTATTTCCCGCACGAGTTGAAGTTTAGCACGAGCCGCGTAGCGGCGAGTGCGGAACCTAAACGAGTTTCCACACTTGTTATGTAATATACTATTAGAAACTTAGTTTGACGGTACAAACACCACATCTATAAAAAATTTTGAATATTCCACTTTTCTTCAAGCATACCATGTAATATACTATGTTACATTCTTGGCATTTTATTCCAATTTTATTTAAAGTTATATTTGTCACACATGAAAAACATAAACCAGTTCTTTTTATGACATTATTTTTATCTTCATCGATATTTTCGGTTTTACAATTTTTTTCTGATTTAGGATTTTTTGCGTTAACGCAATGAATCATCATTACAACCTTAATCCCTAATCCGCAATTCGGTGCACTTACTATAATTATTTCTCAGAAGCCTGGTCCTCAATTCATGTCATATTTTCAGGTACAAAAATAAACCCTTCTTAATATTTTCATTTTGGTTCTCAATTCGTGTCTGCCCAAAAATACTCTAATAAAATCAGATAAATTTACTGTAAAACCATTAACCTTAAAATCATTATGGTACTTCTACAAAATATCAAAACAGCTAATTGGAAGAATATAAAAGTTTAAAGAAAATTCCTAAGTTTTTAATTGAGTTAGACTCAAAGTGTATCGTAAGTTTCCGCTCCGATTAAATTTGTTTACTCCTACACTTCGGAACTTCCATTTTGCAGTTTTTTATAACCCTTAAAACTTTCTGCTACAACTTCGCAATAAAAAAGCATAACAGCGATATTTGTCAGTAGGTAGGGAAATTTAAAAAAGAAAATGAACTGTTCCGAAATATATTTTTAGGAAAGAAATGTTTTATTAACGTCTTAGCTGAGAAAATTTGATAAAAAGTATTTTCACCTTTTTCTTTTTTTTTAATTTTAGCAAATTTATTTATTAGATAAATGGCTAAAGTAGATATATATATGAACAAAGTTTTTATTGTAGAGATCAAAATATTGAGCATGGAGGAGTTGCCATCTTCTTTAGAAATAAATCCAGAACAAAATGATAAATATAATGAAAAGGGTATAATGTTTTATTAAAAATAGTAGGCAATTAAAGTTTTTTTTTATTTAAGTATTTCATTTATTTTGACCTATTTTTACTTTCAGTGAACGAAGAAAAGAAAAAACCAATACATTATATTTTTTTAAGAAATTAAAACAAAGCATATATGTACAAAGCATATATGTACAATAAAATATGGGTACATACGATAAAATATCTTTCAAAATATTTTTAAACAAAAAACGTGATTTTTAAAATTTTCCTAACCAACGTATCTTTACTCTCAACTTCTTAATTTCTTCAATCACCTTTCATCATCAATAGCTCATTTAAAAGAAGTTGTTATAATAACGAAAGAGGGTTCCACTGAAAGGCCGTTGCATATTTATGAATCTTGACGGAATCGGACTAATTATTCATAAATTAGTTATGGTAATTAATACAAAATAACTCGGAAAATCACGAATAAAATAAGGAGGAATGGAAATTTAAATACCTGGGTGTGATTTTCAATTTGCCGGATCTCTGTCAGCCCAGTGGTGTACACGCTTCGGAGAGTTTTCTAGTTAAACGGAAAGTTTAATTCATTTATTATAGGAATGGTTTTGGGTTGAAGTGAATATGTAATGAGAACAGCCCTCAATGTTAATTGGCCAATTAATACGCTTTTTCGCTTTGTAAGGGTTTTATAAGAGGTTTAATAGAGTTTTGACTGAACTCAATAAGTTTAACTGGCTCGGAAAATAGCCTCAAAATATAAGAAAAGAAGATAGATACTAACATTTTTAATTATTTTAAGATTATTTATCTTAGAGACTAAATAACTATCCCAAAGAGAAACTATCATGTCTTTAATAGTTTTGTTTACACTTTTTGTCGTCTATAACTTTTTTACTCATACTAACAATTATTTTAATTCTATAAAATATTGGAAATTGCAAATATATACGTAGATATCTTCTAATCTAACTTGAACGGGTCGACCTACATATTACGAGCTCCTTGACGTAAATACAGAGGTTATCAACCGAGACCTTAGAGAACAATTTCGAGTGTTACACCATAGTTAGCGCCAATTTTCGGGCATATAATTTCAAATGGACAATCCCCGGGAGAATTTCACTTGGCTACTAAGGGGCATTAGAAATGAATGTTAATATTCATTATATCTGGCGTATTATCGAGTAGATTGGGTCTACGTTCCTACAAATTTCGTATATAATTCATTGTTTGTTTCTAATATGCTGGGAATTGGGAATTTAATCATTGGATTTCCACAATTTCATGTACGTTTACTGAATAATATAGGATGTTGCGGGTATGTTATAAGTTTGATTAAGAAACTGCACTTATCGTTGAGTATGTGTGTGTGTGCAGTTGAGCTTGATTAGTAGTTCATTAGGTTGTGTTTATATGTACAGAGCGTTCCGGAAAGAAATATATACAGAATACAGCATACATGAGGATGTACCCTAATTTACCTTGGTCAAAAAATTAATAAAGTGTGGATTGTAACACTCCACTCAGATATTCCCGTTTTCTGCTTTGGGCGCCATGAATGTTTTTCATCTGTCTAGAAAGAAATCCCATCCTTTTCCTACTTTATTAACAACTACCTCTATATATTTCCCAATACTGTCTACATCATCTATCACTATGCCCAGCTATTTTAAATGTCTTTTTTTGAGTAGTATTTTTTTCTATGGGTAAATATTGTTTCTCCATAACTGTTTTCTTGCAGAGCTAGTTCCAGTTTGTGGTTTTCCATCTATCTTATTACATAGAGACGATCCAAAGGAAAGTTGCGCTGAGGATCGTCATTCCCTATAAAAAAACGCCACTTAAGGCCATACAAGTGATAACTGGCACAAAACCGATAAATTTTCAGGTATCCGTGAGAGCTAGGCTTTACGAAGGGAAAAATGGTAGGAGGCTGAGATTTTCTATTGAGAGACTGGCCTTTCTAAATGACAAGTGTAGCAGAAAAAGCGCAGTGGACTTAATAATTGGTAACGTAATGAAATGGTGCGAATACAGACAACTAGATTACTAAACGTTACAGATACTAACGGTACATGAATGTTTTATGTCCTTTACAAAAAGAAAAGGCAAGACGGAGAGAAACACCAGAAATAGAACCACTGAAAGGTTTACGCACCTTAAGTGTTTGTTTTTACATTACAAAAGGTGTTCCCAGAAAAGTGAGTTTCAAGTAAGAGGCTATATTTTTCCTGCTCATTCTTTGCGAAGCTTCCATTTGGTCTCTTTTATTCCATAACTGTATCAACTCTCCCTATTACCAGGGCCTTGTGCAGTCTCGCTGCCGCAGGTGTAGAGTTAATCTACTTGCAAAGTTTTCTCAAGCTCTTACGTTTAGTATTTCTGATTTTTTTGTTGTAGGTGGTGAGTGCCTTGGTGTAGCTTTGACAATCTCCGCTGTACTTAATCCTAATATAAAGCTTCCGCACTTCGGATTGTAAGTTTGATAGATGACGGTTCCACCAAGAAGCATTCCTACTAATTGTATTTCTTTAAATGGGGCAGCTTAATTCATATAGGTACCTCAAAAGCCCCTTTTTTATCTGAATACTTGCCATATTTTGTAATTTAGAATGGTGTTGTATATGTCCCATTCTGTTTTTCTCGGATTCCTTCTGAGGTTCATCTTAGGAGAGTCGCTTTCTAATGTAAACATAATTATCTTATGATCAGATAGAACTCTTCAGCTTGTAACTAGACCTTTAATGCTTGGTGTATTTATGTGATATCTAAAACCTCACTTCTTCTCCTTGTTACAGATGTTGAAGGATTCCCAATATTTTTACAAAAAGATTTTTATTAAAAATATATTCTAAAAGATGCTCATCCCTTTGATTGGTGTCGTTGCTTCTCGATGTGGTGCTGTACACGTTGGCGTCGTATCCAAGAAGTTATGGCAGCTTTTTTCTCTGGTAGTACTCCACTAGCTTCGATAGTACCATGGGTGGTACAGGCTCATCTCCAGCGAAGTAGCTATGTCTTGCAGTCTTATCTTAGATTCGAGGTATGCTTGAATTGAGACGAGATAAGTGTCATACATTCTGAAAAACAAGAATATTTAATATTATTTCTTTCCATAATACATATTGTAAGAAAGATTTATTAAAATAGATAGATATCCATACACGCGCGCTTGAGCAGAAGCCAATGTGCCTGTGTGTGCGTAACATATTTTGTAGCTGGCTAAATGGATATAACCTTTCCCAAGAGCTAAAAAAAATACATATTCTGGGTACTCCATCACTTGCCATCTATACATGCAGGTCCTCTCACCTGGTTTCCGTAGGCTCCCTGATCCTGGATCAGTATTATGCCTAATTGGTCTTTAGTAAATATCCTGGAGATCACAAATGATGCTCCCTTGGCGTGATGGATTTTCACTTGGGCAATGTTAATGTCCGCCATTTTAATTCTCACATTGATGAGGGTGTCATCCGCACTGATGAATGTATGTGTATCTGTTTTTTCATCTCCATTTTGTTCTAATTCGCCTCCTTTAATTACTACATCTTCAAATGAGTCTGAGTAGAGAGTTGAGAAGTTAAAACTCTCAATGCTCTCTGTATTCTTCTCACCGTTGGATGTACCGAGAACTGCTTGCGTTTGTTCTTCCAATTCTTCTGCCTCAACGTCCCCTTAAAGATCATGTATGGGGATTTTCCAAACCGATAGTAAATAGCATATCCATTATCTGTGATACTTTTGCAGAGTAGGTCATATATTTTTAACCTGTGGCTTTGGCCTTTGCCCTCGTCTCTGCTACCACAGCGTGGTCAATAGCCCCACAATATGTGCATTTATTAACTGAATAAGCTTCTTTATAGTCTGCCCTTGACTTCTGGGAAGAAAAATGTAGCAGTATTTGCTATCAGGATGTCGTCTTTCGCACATATTTCCAACTCAACCTGTTCCACTGGCTCAAGTGTAGGATTTTAATTCTAAGCTACTCTACTAACTATGGTGTTTCACAGTCGATTAATACCATACCTGACCAAAAGTAAATGCCTCCCAATTAAAGCTTGTGATCACACTTCGAGAACATTTCTTCCACTACGGATTTCTCCAATAAGGTTTGATCGTACGCACTGAGGATAGCCTCAGGTAACCCATCTAGGATCTAGACAACAGTTGCATAACTATCAGAAGTAGAGTTGATAGCCATTTTCCTCTTTCCGTTAGTTTTTCGCGGTGGTATGGTGTTGCTCCCTTCCCGCTTTCTCTTAAGATCCTTGGAAATGGGTTTGGTCTCATGTCCCTGGGATATGTGCTCAATAGCTTTTGTTTTCTCTTCCTCCGGTGTCAAGCATTGATCAAGGTAGCGTATATATCACCTGACGCCTGCTCTACTGAGTCCTTGCTTCGGTGGGTCGTCCCTGCCACCAGGTTGTCCTATCGGAAGTAGGAAAGGTTTAGTGTTAATAAGGTTATGTGTTTCTCTAAATGTTAAATGATGTGAATATAGTATGTTTGATATACACCTAGTTTCTGAACATTTTATATATACCATTTTGATCACAGACATATCAATTCCAACAATATGTTTTAACGTTGTCGCTTTTTTGGTGAGCTTTTACGAACTTCACCTCTGTTGTGCTTGGCTGCAATACGATTCACCTTTGTAAGACCTAGTTGTAAGGTACCTGCAACTCTCTGAAATATGTAATATTTATGTAGGGAGTTAGGTAAAACTGGGTATATAACGTTTTATGGCTTTTGGAAACTATAGTTTGTGGCTGAAGGAAATAAACATTTGCACACAAATCCTTTGATTAAAAGTGCATTCATATATAAAATTTAAAATGTCATTAGTGTTAAACTTTTTTTTTAGTAATTTCTAACTGATATCACATAAATACACCGAGCATTACAGATCTAGTTACAAACTGAAGAGTATCGAGTGAACCATCTTCTATTTTTATTTATAAGAATCTCAAACTAGATGGGGTAGCAAATATTTTCTCATAAAATTTAACTACAAATTTACCATTCATAATTTAAATCTGTGTTTACCTACCGATTGAGCAAAATTGGGTACATGTGTTAACGTTATGGGAATTTTTTTGAAGAACGTCTAATTTACTTTTGTCACTAATCATTAAACAATCTGTAATAGGAATATAAATGAATAAAAGCAATATTAGGTACATTTGAAAAAATTTAATTAAACAAAAAAATATTTTTTTCAACTATCATGGCAGATTTCGTGAGTAAAGACATCGTCGGTCTCTTTTGATCCACAGCAAGCTTCATGGACCCATCTTCTCAATTAATTGCATTATATTGACCCTTTTACTCCAATGTAGAAAATGCAATTAGTGGAAGACTTTATATTTTCTTTTATTCTTCTTACCGTCATTTTTTCTTGCACTATGCGGAAGAGGCTTTAGGACATTTAATGACACAGTTAAAGAAGAAGTGTTAATATTTGTACTTCTTAGCTTAGATATCTGAAGGAGTAATTCGTCTTCAATTGGAATGTCAGCAGTTGCTATTTTAGATGCACTTGTAGGAGAAAGCCTATCTGTATATCTCTGCTGGCGCAAAAAAATACTTGAAAACATTTTGGTCTATTGGATAGATTCCAGTTTTTCTAAAACCATTTACCGCAATCTTCACAGTTGCTGCTCTTAAAAAGGCTTTGCCATAAAGTTTAGCGACTTGGTAGATTGTAACGTCTGCCCAAATACTTGCTTAAGGGAGCCATAAATGAGACATCTAATGACTCTAAGCGATGCAAACAGTGGTGTAGTAAACATAAGATAACGGGTCATGCTAATTAGCTCCAGACTTTTTGTGTGTGAGTGGAATGTTCATCAAGTATTGGAAGAACTGGATTCACTGCACTTGAGAAAATTTAATAAACTTTTGGAACCAGTAAATAAAAAGATCAGCGTTTATCCAACCACTCGTGTAATTCTTTAAAGCTTTATCGAGAAGAAAAGGATTGTCTCTTATCTTAGGAAAAATAAACATTGTAGGCATAAAATCACCCGAGGCGATCATACAAGTCTTTGCAGCTACAAGTACTCCTCGCTCATAATATGATAATAAACAAACATGCTTCTTCTATTGGCAGGCAAGTATTATGAGGGTTTGTTGGCTACTGTGATCATTATTATTACAACAAACAAATTAGGGCTGAGGAATGAGTTTACAATGAGTCCCAGGTCGTTATAAGAGTTCACAGTCACTAACGCACTACCGTTTAGATAATAGTTCACGCACGAATTATTTTTTCCTATAAGTA